GCTTATTTTGCTCAACATAATTATGTGTAAGAGATTCATCCAGGCTATCTGTCATGGCCATTCACCTGTTTTCACTGCTGTGTAACATTCTGTTGTGTGACTGTACTCAATAATGTCCGTGCGCCTGTTGGTGGACTTTTGGGCTGTTTCCAGTTTGCAGGTATTACAACAATGCCGCTATGAACATTCTTGTACATGGATTCTGGCTGACTGGCATTTTCATCAGCTTGGTCCCCAAAAACGTGATTTCCAGGACCTGGCTTGTGTCGGGACTGCAAAGGTGAGCAGAGAGGGCAGCAGAAAAAGCCACACACAGTAGCTGCAGTTCCTAGCGCCCCAGACACAGCACCCCAAGTCACCCCTGGGCTGCTGGACATACTCCCAGCTGTGACTCCACAAGCATTCTGGTTCAGAAGACTCAGCGTGCCTGGTGGATGCAGGCTCTCAGGAGTGACTTCGACTCCATCAGTTCAATCCCCTGCTGCCACCTCCAGCCCACCTCACTCTCCTGCCTGCTTCACCACTGCCCTCCCTGCCGGTTCAGATGTCAACCTTTGTGGACAGCGCCCAGACTGCTGTCCTCCCTGCTATTGTTGAAAACCGCCCTGACTGCCCTTAGCACACAGGCTTCTAGAAGAAGCTGCAGGGAAGGGACGTACTTGGAAGAGACCTGGAATAGGGTGGCATGGTTTGGAGCTGCATGGCCGTCTACCCCAAGCCCTCATCACCGGGAAGCGAGCACTGAGGTCCAGAGAGGGAAAGCAGCTTCCCCAAGACGTCCAGCTAGCAGCAGTAATGAATGAAGTCAGCAATGATAGCTAAGATTCACTGAGCACTTTCTATATCCCGAGTCCCTTGGTGGTGCAAACAGTTAATGCGCTCAGCTGCTAACTGAAAAATTGGCAGTTTGAGTCCACCCAGAGGCTCCCCAGAAGAAAGAGCTAGCAATCTACTTCCAAAAACCAGCCATAGACAACCCTATAGAGCACCCCTCTACTCTGACACAAACGGGGTCACCAGGAGTCGGGGTTGACTCAACGGCAACTGGTAACTGGTTTTCTACTTCCCAGGCACAGCACTGAGGGTTTTTGTGTAGGCTCTCTCAGTCAGCCAACACAGCATGCTTAAGAGCTAGACATAAAAAAATTCATCCATAAGCAGCAGTGCCAGGATTAGAAGCTATGTCTTTAGTCTCACTCTGGGGCCTTTCCTTTCCACTACTTCTCCATCCTCTGATCTTGGTGGGTCCTCCTTACTCTCTAGGACAGGGAGGAGATGGTCAGAGCAGCAATAATATCCCCCTCTACCACCACCACCAATATAGGGTTTTCACCACTGCAGGCAGAAGCTCTCATGCCTACTAGCTCACCTGTGGACAGACCACAGCTTCACACATTTTCTCACGCCTCACCCTCTGTGTGCCTCAGGAGTCCTGCAGCCAATAGTGCCCCCCACCACTACCACCACTAAAGAAACCCTCGGCAGCACTTCTCAGGGTGCAGTGCAGTTATATAGCTTTTGTTCATAATCAAGAAAACTCACTGACAACTTCAACCTCCATTCAAAGTGCTTAAAGACTTCACGCTCTGTCCCCACAGTGAACTATCTGGCTGTTAAAATTGATGCTGTAGATAAGTATTTATTGGCAGAAAAAGATGTTGAGTAGATTAAGTGAGAAGGCAGGCTATAAGTAATAGGTGGTATATTCTCTCCTGTCTGTAGAATTTATGCATATTTAATAGCAGCCATTTATCAAGAGCTTCCTACATGCCAGGCACTGGGCAGAGCAGTGGGCATCTTGTGTGGCATTGCCATCCCCTCCATGCAGTCGGTGTCTTTGATATCACTGCCATTTTCCTAACAAGAAAACAGAGTCTCAGAGAGAGGAGGAGACTCACCCAAAGCCACACAGCTCAGGCAGAGGTGGAACTTGAGCCCAAATCAGTCCTTCTCCAAAGCCGGCATTACCAACCACAGGACTGGGCAGCCTCTCTTGCTCCCCCCAACTCTGAGAAGGCCTGGAGGAACGACCCATGCCCAGGGTTCCAGTACTTCTCTGGCGGAGGGGGCTTATTTTCTTTATCTGCATTTATAAATTTGGATTGATTCTGTAATTAGATGAAGAGCGTTGTTTAAGGGCTGGCCTGCTTAGTGGTGTCCTCCCTGTGCTTGGTTCCAGGACCAGAGGAGGGGCCGGGCAGGAGATGCCGGGCAGGAGGGGCACAGTTGGGAGGGACTGGTTCTGCCGTGCTCATGGGAGGAGGGGTGGACACAGTGTGAGGGCTCTCCTGACGGCCAGGACAGGATGGGGGGCGCCAGCTGGATCACACTTGTGACCACCTGGGTCTTCATGGTCTGTCCGCGGCCAAAGCAGAGCCACACAGATGGGCAGGCCTTCCTCAAGGGGCACCTACAGCTGTTGTGAAGAAGGGAGTTGCAAGTGCAGAAAAAAAACTGAAAGGAAAGGTATGCGCCATTCATTTTTCAATGTTGTTGTAAAGCGAACTTCTGGGGAAAGAAAGCATGTTTGTGTGTACGCATGCCTGAATGTGTGTATACATCTGTGCATGTCTGCATGTGTATGTTTGCACGCATGTGTGCGTGTAACTACATACGCGTGCACACCAGCATGTGTGTATGCAAGTGTGTGTGCGCACTGACCTGTGGCGTCGGGCTTGATGTCCCCAGAGGGGACTGACATATGCGAGTGTCCAGGTCCCAGACACCCACCCAGGCCTTCTGGAGTCATCTGTGTAATGAACGAGAAGGAGCGGCTAACAAGGCCCCTGGACGATGGGACAATGCAGCTCACTCTACATATCCCTGCCCTGCTGCCCTCTGTGTGCAGTAGCCAAGCCAGCCACCTGAGAACCGCCGTGGGCTGGGCTGGCAGGCCCTCTGGTGGCCTTATAAGAGCAAACGCAGTCCCTGTCATTGGGCGGCTTGCAGCCTGGTGAGGACGGCCTGACTCCCTTCTCCTTATCATTTCATCCATCACAAATGTCTTCCTAAAACGCAGCTTTTACGCAGTCACTTGTATTGAACTAACCCCCCTCCCCCATTCCACTAAAGACAACTATAAAAACTGGGCAAATACACGCAAACGCCAAGACACTGGGGGAGCACCCACACGGCAGGACTTGGGGCAGCCCTGATTTGGAAATGAGGTCTTTGCAGATGGAATTGGTTAAGGTAACGTGAGGTCATACTGGAGTAGGGTGGGCCCTTAACCCAATACAAGTGGCCTCCTTATAAAAAGAGGAGAAGAAACAGATACAGAAGGAAGAGAGACACATAGGGAAGACCACCATGTAAGGACAGAGCAGAGATTGGAGTGATGGGGTCACAAGCCAAGAAATGCCTGGGGCCACCAGGAGATGGAAGAGACAGGAAGGATCCTCCCCTAGAGCCTCTGGACACACCCTGAATTCAGACTTCTAACCTCCAGAACTGTTGAGAGGAAATTTTCCGTTGTGTTAAAACCCCAACTTAGTAGTTTTTTGTTTAACAGCAGCCGTAGGAAACAACTACAGTTGACCAAGTTACACATTTATTTTTAGTCAGTGTTGGACCCAAGAGTCAAATCCTGGCCTGTATGACCTAACAGAGGTGGATGGGGATTGAATGTGGAATTGCCATCAATAAGTGCCTAACCCTCAGCAGGCTCTCCGTAATGGTAGCTGCCATCGATTTTTTTTCCCTTTAAAAATATGTTGTCTAAAAATATAAGGCTTATAACAACAACAACAAAATACAACAGTTTCCCAAACTACTGGTACACACAACATAGATGAATCTCAAAAACATTGTGCTGAGTGAAAAAAGCCAGATACTCACTGTATGTGTCCATTCACCTAACACTCTGGGAAAGACAACTGGAAGCTGTTATGGCAGAATGCAGGGTCGGGGGTGCTTGGGCTAGGGTGGGGGAACGACTGCGAGGGGGCACGAGGGGACTTTCTGTGCAATGGAAATGTTCTCTATCTTGATTGCAGTGACTGCACGCATGTGGACGTTTAGCCTCAGGTTTCTCATCTGTGAAACGGACATCTTGCCCGCCTGGCTATTTTGCAGATAGCATTGATGAGGGTCAACCCTGGAGTTCTGTGAAAAGTTTGTCATCAGTAAAAAATGCTCTACGTGTCTATACAAGGTCTTCTAATCAGCAAAAGGTGAAATCGTAAAGCTAGTTATGTTTAACAAAGTGAGGAAATATTTGGTCTGATGAACATAGCTTAACGTGTTTCCCCTTTGATACTTAAAATGAGTGAGACTGTTTTCATCCAGAGGCATCAGCCCGCAAACATCTCCCGCTCCCGGGAAAGCCCCGAGCCACTCATCACGTGACCGCGCGCGTCACATGACAGACCGCTCGCCGCGTTCGCGCATGCGTTAAACCCTTCACGCAGGCGTCGTCAGAAGACCCCGTCACGCGCGCGGGCTCAGGGCCCCGCCCCCGGGAGGGGCGGGGCGTCCCGGCCGCGCCTGCGCCGTGGAGGGGCTCGGGGGTGGGCGCGGGCCGGGGGCGGGGCCTCGCGGAGGCCGGAAGGAAGAGGGAGCGGGGAAGAACGATCGAGGGAAGCCCGCCTCCCCCAGGACGACCGTCGCGGCCTGATGACGTCGCACAATGGCCGGCCCCCGCGGGTAGTGGAGCCCGTTTGTTCCGCTCGCGTCGCGCCTGAAGCCGGAGCCTGTAAGGAGCGGAAGGGCCGAGGGACGCCTTCTCCGCGCCGCCCCACCTCCAGCGGAGCCGTGGCCCGCTCTCGGCCCTCGCGCTGAGG